AACTTACTAAAAAAAAAAAAAAAACCAAAACACATAGAAGACACTTAAAATCATTAAGGTGCTCTTGAGGTTATCTGTCAGTCTGAAATAAACTCTATCTCATAAAGGTGAATTGCCTCTTTGGGTTATACCACCTTAACAAATTAATTTTGTTTATAAATTTCTCTGCAAAATTGGTAACATTTTATTCATCAGCACCTTTGTTGTACAAGTTGACATCAAAATACAGATATTTTTCTGCATGTATACACACAAACACTATACATATTCATTTGTGTATAAATAAGGACAAATCTAAAAATACGCATGTAAACTGAGACTTCATTAATAAAATCTTACTAAATAGTTTAAAAGTTTTAAAACGTTTGCCAGACACAACAACAAAAATTAGGAACACAACAGAAAAACTAAAAATAGAAACATAGCTAAGTGTAGCACTCAGAACAGAAAGGATCCTATAAAATTACTGTACAATTAAGGTAGGAAACAATCTAAGGAATTCATGCTCTATTTTCAAAACCAAAAACATCCCATGCAGGAAAAAAACAACCAGTTACAGAAATCTGGACTCTATTAGAAAGGAGTTCTCTATTCCGCCCCTATGTTTCATTTACAAGTTAATATAATCCGATGGAAGATGGAAGAAATGGAAAATATTTGCAAAAAAATGTGGTTAAAGAATGTAGCAATTAAAACCTTTTATACTATCGGTGTTAAGTCTAAAAATAACCCAGCATATAGCAATAATAACCCTGTCAAATGGGAATATTTGTCAGGCTCAGCTGTCCCCAAGTCCTAAGCACATTGTCAGGAGGCAATGAATAAACAAGTGTTTATGAGTTCCAATTAGGCAGCATGTTAATACATCTACATTGGATCATTTTATTTCACATGTAATTTTAAACCAGCTCCTGTTTTTTCCTAAAAAAATAAAGGCAAACTTTAGAGTGACCAATACAAACTTCTGGATTGGTAAAATTTGAAGTAATGAGGTTTAACATTACTTTTTAAGTGATAATTCATGTTCTAAAAAAGGAATATCAGACTATCACTTTTCAGCTGGTCATATACATATATATGTGTACAGACACACAGATACACACCCCGCCCCAAATTGATGGCACATAACAAACAGAGGCTGCCTTAAAAGACCTGAAGCTATCAATGCAAATGCAGACATGCCTTCTGAGCTCGTTGTTCCGTAACTAAAATTACCTAAAAAATTATTGCCCAGAGTCATCCTAGAAATGTTGAGCTTTTCTTAGAAAGTGGTTAATGTTGGACAGATTGAAAACCAGGAATTTAGAGCAAATCACCTATAAAGTTTATTTCATTTTTCAAGTCCAGTGGTAAATGCTGTTTTTTACATTTACATTTTAGAATGAAAATGTCGGTATCATTTATTATTCTGGATTAAAAGATCTGAGTTACTGAGTCTGGACCTGTGAGTGGCTGGCTTTGCCTCTCTCAGTAAGACCAGCAGTAACTAAGGAGTTTCTCTCTACAGAACTTCTAAACAGTGGTTGCTAATATGTTGCCCAGGATATGTCTAGGATCCATGTACATCTTCATTTTCAGATGAAAATTTCAATTTCAGAAAGTCTAGTTCGAATCTGATGGAATTATACCAACTCAGAGAAAATTACTAATCCTCTAATTATTACTGAAGTGTTGATTAATATTTTTATCTGTCTTTCTTTGCTACCCAATAGAAACAGGAAAACTTCCTTTCACTGGTGGATAAAATCTTTCAAAAAATGAGGTTTACAGGTGAAAATTAAAAGTGGTAATTGTCAATGTAAAAGACTGGAAACTACTGCTCAAAGATCATTAAAAATAACAGAGAGGAATAAAACCATAAAAGTTATAAAAACTAGACCCTAAAGTGAAGAGCACACCAGGTACAGTGACCCAGACATCACCGAGGCACTGTAGCAGCTCAGCACCTCATCCAAGAGGCTTCTTTGTGTCTGAAGCCTCTTACTTCAACATAAGCTCAGGTGGAATGAATATTAATCCTTTGAAATGTTTCCCTGTAGAAGATATGTCTGGTTCAAAAGTCTTTAAAAAGAATTAAATTAGAATCTGGCCTAATTCTGGAGCTACTTTTATAGCAAGATCTCTTAATTTGGTCATCTCTGATCCAGTCCCCTCTAAATAGCCTCTTACCTGGCCTCCCTACAATTCTTCCTCTCTCTCTTGGGCCCATTCTTCACAGATCAGGGAATCGTAAAAACAAAAACATAAATCCAGTCACATCACTACTCTGCTCTAACAGCTTCCATGCACTTTTTTGGGGATAAAACTCCAACCCTTACATTTTCTGCAAGGCCCTGAATAATGTGACTTACCACTCATTGATTTCACCCCAGCTGTGCTGGTTATTTTTCCAGTTCCTCCAAAGCTCCTTCCCACCCTAAGGCCTTTGCACCTGCTGCTCTCTTCCCTACAATGTTCTTCCCTGTATGTCTGGAACCTCCAAGTAATCCTTTGGTTCTGGGCTCAGAAGTGGTTTCTTCAGGAGAGCTTTGCTCTTCACCAATCTTCTACTCCCTGCACCCTTCCGGCCTCCCATTATTTGAATGTTTCCTTCATCATACTTATTATAACTGCAATTAAGTAACCATGTGTTTAATGCCTTTTTCCAACCCTGTACTGTAAGCCCTGTGAAGGTGTGATTGCGTCTGTCTCATTTACTGCTGTTTTCCCGGTGCCAGGCCTATTGCAGGAAATAAGGCACTGAAGGGAATATAATTTTGCAATGGGCTCTTGTAAGAAGTAATGAAAATTAGTCTATCTTACACAAAATCATGGCTGTATCAACCACACATCACACTATAACGTTAACAAGTCTTTGTGACAGTTTAACAAATGACGAAGCCAGTGAAGCAAGATTTTTCACAACTTTTTCATTCCCAAATACTCTAAACCGTTAACTAGGTTATCAAGCTGGGGACATGTAGTGATGTTCCTTGAAAATATTCATGGAATTCAGTGTGGCAGCTAAGTTTCCTGGATGGAAACAAACAGACTCTCAACCAAAGTGCACCAGCCTTCAAATGAATGAGCCATTACAAGAAATTATGTCTGAAAGGCCACCCAAGAAGAAGTAATATGAAATTCAACCAGTGTTCTCTTGAACTTAGCCAATTCACTTCAAATGAAACAAATGCTTGATGGATGGGTAAGAACGCACAAAAACATTAAGAAAAAATTCAGGAGCAAGCTGTGAGATGAGGATTTCCCAAGATGATTATGACTTTGTAAAGTGTTACTATAAAGAAGTTCCTGATTAAGGTGGATATTTCGAAAAAATCTTTGGAAGCTAAGAGTCATCTAAAATAGTGACATAGCCATTTTAAATCTGGCATAGATGTATATAAGTCTACAATATACTGATTGTGGTATCTGAGATGACTGTCAATTCTTAAGAAACTCTAATAAGGGCATTTAGGTTTCCGTGGATCAAAAGCTCCATAATTTAAATATCCAATGTAAGAAACTTTTTTTTGTAAAGAGGAGATACTTATTTTCCAGAAACCTTTAACTCAATAAATAACAAACAGAGAAAGGGGAAAATATGAAAACACAAAATAAATAATTTAACCTGATACTGCAGCCAAGAAACTTAAGAAGAATAAGAAGCAAAGTAATTATCTTCTATCCTCTCACCCATCAACCCAAGACTTTCACAAAGTAAAACCGAAAGGATGGAAAGCTATCATTTCACTCTGTGTTTTCTACCTTACTCTTCTGATGGTGGCGGGCGGGGTAGGAGTGGGGAAAGTGAGATGTGTGTGTGTACAGTAGTCAAAGGGGGGAAACTAACATTTGTCTTCTGCCTACTATGTTATGTGCCTACAGACACGAAACATGTATTATTAGATTTAGTCTTCACAACTAACCCATTTACAGATGAAACTGACAGAGGTGAAATGACTGGTCAGAGGTCACTTGCTTAGTACACGGCAATGGCAGGCTTTGATTCCAGGGCTACCTAGTGCCCCTTCTACAACACCACACTGCCTTAGTTTTCCTCGTTCTGTCAAATATATTAATTGCTCATTTAGCATAACATTTCCAGTTCTTTTCTTTCCATTATTCCATTCAAATGAGTTTTCTTTTTCACTCTGAGGGATTTTATTAGTCTTCAAACATTGTTCCATAGCTTAGAAATTAAGGGAAAGTAGACCTTTTTTCACACAGAACAGCTCTCCTCTCTCACACTCTTAATGAAACTTTAATGAGACAGATAGTGTGTATCTATTTCACTTAATAGCCTTGCTTTTAATTCCCCCCTTCAGATTCTAAATATTAACAATCTAGAAAATATCTCATGTTTATCTTGTAGTGTCTCAGAGAGCACTCCCCAAGTTACTCCTTGTGCTATGCAAGTCTCTTCTTTGAAAAGAATGGTAATATGGTTTTTAACACAGTAAGATGAAGTGGTAAACTGTGGATAATAAAGCTTTAAATTGATACATTTCAGTAACTGATTTTTTTTTTTTTTTTTTTTTGCGGTACGTGGGCCTCTCACCACCGTGGCCTCTCCTGCCGCGGCCTCTCCCGCCGTGGAGCACAGGCTCCGGACGTGCAGGCCCAGCCGCTCCGCGGCATGTGGGATCTTCCCGGACCGGGGCACGAACCCATGTCCCCTGCCTCGGCCGGCAGACTCTCAACCACTGTGCAACCAGGGAAGCCCCACTGATAGATATTTTAAAGTTATTATCATTTGTGTTCCAATCTTATAAAGGTGGAAAACTTAATATTTCTTCTACTAAGGAAAGGTAAGTATATAAAAAGACTTTATATAAAGTTAATATACTTAATTTTTAAAATTCTGAAACCGATCTAATTTTGTCAGATTTATGTATGTGGTATTAACTGTTCAGTCTTCCTACTGTATTCCAAACTCAGATAACAGGTACTCAAAGAAAACACTGCATTTTTGTTTTCAGAAACTGTAAAATGTGGGAATCATGATATAAAGTGAAAATTACCTTGCTTATCTATAACCGAGTATGAAGCCAAAAATCCTCGTCCAGAAACATGAATTCCACTCATGAACAGCACTGTAATTTCATTGCTTTTTGATTCAATTGAATGGTTCATTTGCAACCCCAGACCACAGTATTTGCCTAGGAATCAAAGAAAAGCAGATATTTGGTGTGATTCATGAAGTCAATAATATTTACAATGTAGGTAAAAGAATCATAATAATATACCAAACTGGGCATTAATCTAAAATGACTAGAATGTTTAATGATGAAAAACTCACATTACTCTGGAGAGAAAAAAAATTCCAAGTAATAACTGTTCAAATGATTCAAAAGGAAAAACAGTGTCTACAGGCATCACTGACCTTATAATGACTCAGTTTCCTGTGAAATATATTTATACTCTTTAAAACTGTGACAAGGAATTTAAAAAATTAACTTAAAGCATTTCATGCAGGCAGGTGGCTCATAAGTGAATTGACAGTCAAGCAGTAGTATTCTTAACATGTTCCCCAAGGGGGAACAGATTCTTGAGCTCTGGGCACCCCTTAAACCTTTTACAGACCTTCTCAAGTTTTCTTCCAAGAATTGTTGGACTTCTGTCAACCCCTTTAGGTGATCATATCTAGTCCTACAGCTTTAACTATGATATGACAATTCACATTTATACCTCTACATAGCCTTTTCCTTGAACTTCAGATGCATGTATCTAACTGCCTACAAACTTTTATCCTTTAATGTCTAACAGACATGTAAAAAATAACATATCCTCCCTCAGTACAGATCTAAGTTTATTAAGACAAAAGGGCAGAAAAAAAAATTAGAGCAAGATATCCACCAATAACTAATAAAAATGGGTTTTTCTTTTTCTTTTTTTTATTCCCAAATTTCAGCCATTTATTTTTTTTCATCTTTTAATTCCTATGGGGTTCATCAATTCTTTATCAGTTAACATTCTCATTGACAAAGACCAATTTATATTAACTATAGTTATATATAACATATCAAGGGAGTACATGGGAAAATCAGAACACAAGACTTCATCAGCTAGAGTTCAACTCAGTTTGCTGTTATGGAGACAAACAAGATAAATACATTGAAGCATAAACAAAATATTACGCTCAGAATAACAGCATTCCAGAAGGAAATGGAAAGCTGAAGATACAATATACATCTCTAATTTACAATATGTATAATTATATAATTTATTAAAATCAACACAATTCATGTACAAAATATTAACATGGCAGCCATTAAGTTTGTTAAGCACTTCAAATACTGAAATGTTAAAACAGTAAAACTACACTAAGCAACTTTTGCATCAAGGGATCTAATCTAACTCACTAGTTCAGGCTGAACATTCACTCTCCGAAGTATTTCTTCAGGCATGCAAAAAACAGGGCTAACAGGTTTAATCTGTTCTCCTCCCAAAAGTTACAATCCAGCAATTCCAAATAGAGTGTGAAAAGGATCTACCATATCTCCTGGCCTGTCCGCAAATCCTCCCGTTTCTTCATCTTGACACGCTAAAATGAAACTGCACAGTTTCTGTCAATCCAATGAAGCCTTCCAATTATCTTTAGGGAAGCCAACACCCACCAAGAATAGCATACATCTGGTAACTTCTCTGGCCTTCCATTGAGTCCACCTGATGGAAGCTGTCGTTCACAAAGCCACCAACCAAGTAAATCAGAATTTACTCAATGCAACTGACTAGTAATAGCCAGGAATCCTGCCCAGCATGGGATTCAGAACCTGGCCTGCAACCAAATCCACCATCAAAGTTCATACATGATAAAACAAATTCGATTGCCTTTTCCACATTAATAGCATCCAGCTTCCCCAATAGAGCCAAAGTTGCCACCGCACAAAGAGAATCTTGTGTTGATTTCTCCCTATTATATAAAAGTAGATTTTCACATCCCATGAAGCAGCTGGACTCTCTTGCCTGCACTGCATTCAGCCCTTATCTTTTAGACTGGCCCCCTCTGTTCCGGTACTCCTGTATGCTGATATAACTAGCACAGTGCATGCTGGAACTTCCAGCAGACGATTAACTCCAGTTAGACCAGCTGCTTAGTGGGACCCCAAATATCTCCAGCGAAAGAACCATCTTCTTTCTGTAGACTCTGAACATATTCCACAACTTTATTTACATCAATAACATTAATACTATCATAGAAAGAATCTGGACAGCACTAAGAGTGTACAAAAGTTGAGGATCATGTCCAATACTAGCACTTATTCCACCATACTCATGTTGACAAGACTTAATAAATGTCAGAATTTCTTCTCTATTCATGCGATGTAGCCGTCCCATGAGATCCATTACAGTCAGACCCCAATAGATGCCACTCATTCTCAAATATTCAGACACACAGTATTCGTAATCATCTTTGAGCCATAGGATGCTATATAATCTACATGCTTCTCCACTAATAGGGTGTCGGGTGCATCTGACTTGATAATCACATCCTTCTGCGGTGTGCCCATGTCTGAGACCGAAAAAAGCAAAAATGGGTTTTTCTTATGTGCCTGGTAACTTTAACAAATTCTGAATAAAAAGTTCTAAAAATGTTTTAAGTTGAACAACATCACTTGAATTAGAGTAATGTGAACTTCCATAGATATCATTTTCAAGGACTATACATTTTCATGTGAGTAGAAAATGCTAAATAATCAACCAAACCCCCCCATCAGAACTGGTAAGGGAGATAAGGTCACAAGGTCGATATACAAGTCAATTGTAAACAATAACCTAATCAAAATGGGCAGAAGACCTAAATAGACATTTCTCCAAAGAAGACATACAGATGGCCAACAGGCACACGAAAAGATGCTCAATACTACTAATTACTAGAGAAATGCAAATCAAAACTACAATGAGGTATCACCTCACACCTGTCAGAATGATATCATCAAAAAATCTACAAATAATAAATGCTGGAGAGGGTGTGAAGAAAAGGGAACCCTCCTACACTGCTGGTGGGAATGTAAATTGGTGCAGCCACTATGGAAAACTGTAAAATAGAGCTACCATATGATTCAGCAATCTCACTCCTGGTAACATATCCAGAAAAGATGCAAACTGTAATTTGAAAAGATACATGCACCCCCCTCCCCCCGCCAATGTTCATAATATAGCAGCACTATTTACAATAGCCAAGACACAGAAGCAACCTAAGCATCTGTCAACAAATGAATGGATAAAGAAGATGTGGTATGGGACTTCGCTCGTGGTCCAGTGGTAAAGCATCCACCTTCCAATGCAGGGGACGCGGGTTCCATCCCTGGTCGGGGAACTAAGGTCCCAAATGCCACGGGGCAACTAAGCCCGCGTGCCTCAACGATTGAGCCTGCATGCTGCAAACTACATAGTCCAGGCACTCTGGAGCCCAAGCACTCTGGAGTCCACGTGCCCTGGAGCCCACACACCACAACTAGAGACAGAAAACCCACAGGCCACTAGAGAGAGAAGCCCACACGCTGCAACAAAGACCCGACACAGCCGGAAAAAAAAAAAAAAAAAAAGAAAGAAAAAAAGACAAAAAAAGAGACGTGGTATGTATGTGTATGTGTGTGTATGTATATATATATATATATGTATATATATATATACATATACACATACACACACACACACACACATAATGGAATATTACTCAGCCAAAAAAGAATGACATATTGCCACCTGCAGCAACCTAGAGAATATCATACTAACTGAAGTCAGAAAGACAAAATACATGATATCACTTATATGGGGAATCTAAAAAATAATACAAATGAATTCATTATAAAACAGAAACAGACTCACAGACACAGTAAACAAACTTATGGTTACCAAAGGGGAGAGAGAGGTGGGGAGGGAAAAATTAGGAGTATGGGATTAACAAATACAAACTACTACTGCATATAAAGTAGATAAGCAACAAAGATTTACTGTGTAGCACACGGAATTATACTCAAAATCTTGTAACAGTCTATAATGGAATATAATTTGCAAAAAAAAAACCTGTGAATCACTATGCTGTACACCTGGAAACTAACATAATATTGTAAATCAACTATACTTCAATTTTAAAAAATCAATTTTATTTCCATAAACTAGTGACAATCTGAAATGAAATTTTTAAAGCTTAATTTATAATAGCAACAAAAAGATTAACTATTTAGATACATTTAAAAAAAAGAAATTCAAAACCTGTACATTAAAATATGCAAAACACTGCTGAAAAAAATTAAAGAACTAAATAAATCAGGAGATATACCAAGTTCATGGACTAGAAGATTCAATATTGTTAAGATGTCAGCTCTCGCCAAATTGATCTACTGATTCAATGCAATCCATATCAAAATCTTAGCAGGTTTTTTTTTTTTTTTTTAGAAATTAACAAGTTGAACCTAAAATGTATATGGAAATGCAAAGGACATAGAATAGCCAAAATAATTTTAGTAAAGAAGACAGTAGAGAGACTTACATTACCTGCTTTTAAACTTACTATATAAAACTACAGTAATCAAGAAGAGTGTGGCATCATTGTAAGGGCAAATATCTACATTAATCTGAATGGAGCAGAACAGAGTCCAGAAATGAACCTACTTACAACTATCAACTGATTTCTGACAAAAGTGTCAACAGGGAAGGAACAGTCGTTTCAACAAATGTACTAAGCCAGCTGGATATCAATATGAAAAAACAACTTAGAACTTCACGATATACACAAAAATTAAGTCAAAATGGATCACAGATTTAACTCTAAGAGCTAACCTTATAAAACTCTTACAAGAAGACATAAAAGAAAACTTTGTGACTTTGGGTTAGGCAAGGATTTCTTAGATTCAAAACCAAAAGCATAATCCATTGAAGAAAAATATTAATAATTAGGGTTTTATCAAAATTTTAAATGTTTGCTCTTTAAAAGACACCATTAAGAAAATGAAAAAAACAACAGGCTAAGAAAAAATATTTGCAAAACATTAATCTGATAAAGACCTCACATCTGAAATGTGTAAAAAACTCCTGTAACTCAATCAATCCAATTTTTTTAAATGGGCAAAAGATTTAAACAGACACTTTAATAAAGAAGACACACTCAAGGCAAATAAGCACATGAAAAGGTGCTCAACAGTATTAGTCATTA